ACAAACAGAGAGTATTTTGGAGCAGAACATTCCACCTGCAATTTTTTGTCCCACTTTTTACGATTTGAGAAAAAAATGATTCAAATCAGGGAAAAGTCTGGGAACTTGAGTGGCCCAAAATAGAAACTGGTCTGTTCAATATATTTTATTGATGTCTGACACATCTGTATCAACAGTGAAGACTTGTCAAACTGGAAAAAAAGGTTGAAATAATTATTCTGGAGTTTTGAAAATTCATTGGGGAAAAAGTAGGGAAAGTAAAAGAAGTTTGTTCCCAGGAAATGCTGGAAACCCCATGTTAACTGCTAAAACACCTCAAGAGTTTGCAAGACAGTGCATTGCTTCCACTAATAAATCTTTCTAAAATATTTGCTAGATACTGAAGAGTTTTGCATGGAGAGGGCTGATGATATCTTAAAATGTGGCTGCCGCCAAACTTCAAAGTAAACCTATATGTTGATTTTTGTTTCTGGTGTAGGTGTGGCATGGATATATGGATTGCTTTTGCCATCACAGTTGATGCTTTTGCTAACCATGTAACCATTGTGAGCTGTCATTGCAAAGACAACAGAACAGTCACAGTGGCCAATGTAAAGGTAGCCACAACATGATTTCCAAATGCGCTAGTTATGGCTATGTCTACACATGCATTGCCAATCTATATAAGGTTTCAGATTTCACACAGCTAGCAAGGTGCTGTTGTGCCTCACTTATATGCCATCAATCATCATGCATAAGGACCTGGATTCAAGACCCACTTTGTCATTTCTTTTCTATTTTTGTTTCAATTGTTGATATCTTTTTTTAAATTAATCAAATCCTGTGTTTACCTTCTTCAGGCATCCCCCCCCTTTTTTGGGGGGGAGGGGTTGAGTTCATACCCCTGGAGGATATTTTTAAAACTGGAGACAGTCTGAGATCCATTCTTTATGGGCTCATCTAATTCATATGTCCAATACTGTAGACTGGTGCATATGAAATAGCAGTTATCTAAAATACCGAAACTAGAGCCACTGCGACAGGTCCATTTTCAAAAATGTAATGAAACCGTGAAAACATCGGATTGTTTGCAGATGTTACCAAAAATTTAGTGAATATACACGTACCTCCTTCTTAAAGATGGAGATTGGAAATGTGAAACTCTACAGGCATACAACTTTTCCTTGGATCACCTGATTTCCTCATCTTTCACTCCACACCCATGCCATTGAAAGATGAAAAACACTGTACAAAATCTTGTAAAGGTTAGAATTTCCTCGTTTTTTTTTATCACAGTCCAAGTTGGATGCCAATAGGGCACAAGCCCCTCTTAGTCACAATTTCATGTGTGCAAACTGATAGTTATCAGTTCAAAAGAGCACTCCAAGATTTCTAATCAATTAACATGAAGGATTATACTCACCCCGCACCTAGTACGTCTTTGGAAATAATTTACTTTTAGCCTGTATACAGTTTTGTCAACTTTTTCAGTCTTAAACAGAAGGCAAAGGAACCATTGGTGTTTCACTGTTTTCCGTTTTGATGCTTCTTTTAATTCTATCCCCACCCCCTTCATTCTCTTTTTCTAAAGGGTTAGTTCAACGACATTTCCCACAGGTTCCATAACCCTTAATGAGTGGGGTTGTTATTGACCACTTCACATGGGGGGGGCAGAGGAAAGTATACCCCCTTAAGAACTCGGATGCCCCATGCCTGATTTGTTTTTAACCTTTGTATGCATGTAAAGGGACTCCTTGTCAATACAAACGTGAAGTTTCAACTCAGACATATGATGATGTTACAGTCATTGTAAGGTGAAAGCCCCACACACCCGTGCCAACCTGCATGCATTGAGCACAGCAGTGGAAAGTTTTCATTTTGGGGGCTGGTTTATCTTTCAAATGGGGGCGCTGCACGAGAATGGTACATGTATGCTTGATTTTCACAAAATTGTTGTCAAAATGTCTGCAAAGAGTTACTAAAACACTGCTAAAAAAAAAAATTGGCCCATGAATAAATTCACTGTAAGAAAAAAATGTCGGTGGGGGGTTGAATTCTGTCACAACCCCCCCCGTCCCCAGCATTTTTAGATTTAAGAAAGTCCACATTATGTCTGAAGCTTGTTCCAGTGATGCAAGTATAATCTAACCACACAGAACAACCCAAATTCTTCAATAAGACGTTATTAGACCTGCACAAGCCAGATAGGCCAGAGCTCCCACAGAGAACACCAGTATCAATGTGACTAATTCCAGACAAATATTTATCCAAACACTCCCCAAATCCATTTGTTTTACTGAGAGGCAAAGCCCTCTGATTTTATGATTTTTAATATTAATGTTTTCTTCTTTTTTTTTTGGTGGTAGGTATTAAAATCAGATACCATGAAATGAAAGATTATTCACCAAAATTAATGGTTGATTTTACAAGTATGGTAATTTTCTACTTTGATGTATGCTGGCAGCATCATTGTATAAGGTTACTCCTGTTCAGTGATTTTTTGTGGAACAAAGAAACAGCTATTTTGACCCGTCTTTCAGTTGTTTGAGAAACTTTATAATGTCTCCCACTAAAGTTCTAATTTGTTAGGACCACATTTCCCTCACTGAACTCTGAAAAGTTCATCAGAATATTGTTATTGATTTTTGTCTGTACTATTTTGTTGATGTTTAATTTTGTTTACATATGTTTGTGTGTTGGGGTTAACAATGAATATTTTAAGCAGTCCTCTGCATCTTGAAATTTCTTAGACTTTGGACCCAAACTTTGATTGGTTTAAATGTTTTTTTTAATAAACACATGAGAATAGGTAACGTTGGCTACCACTTAGTTAAGGAAAGATTCTGGTGACACCCATGGACAAAAAATCATTATCCTGTTTCCAAATTTGATCATTAAAGAAATTGAATTTCTCATTCAAGAAATTGAATTTCTCATTCAAGAAATTGAATTTCATTTTCAAAGTCATAACATATGCGATGTAGAGTGATTCTTTTAAAATGTCCAATGCCAGTTAATTGTAGCGTACAACCATTTAGAGTTCAACTGGACATATGGAACTCTTTTCCATTTGCTTAGTGTATGCAATATGTAAAAGCTTTGTTTTTGTATTAATATACATTAATATACATATATTCCTAACTATCATGTATTCCTACAGGACAGAACTGACCTTAACCGCATTGGCGAGTTTTAATCCCATTCATCAATTAGTACCATCACTTTTAATGATTTAGAAGAAAAGCGAGGCTAAGCTGACTCCCATTTGAAAACAGAACAAAGGACACTTGCTAAAAAAAAAATTGTGGTCCAGAGAGCACAAACAGGCAGAAAAGTTAAGTCCCCAGGCAGTTTAGCCTGGATCTTACCGGTGGTATTTGTAATGATTAAATTCAATAGGCAGCTGGTCATCAATTACAATCTAGCAGATTTGATAATTGTTGATGGTTAGCTAAAGCCTTGAAGTGCAGAGAGATTGTTGCGGGTAGGCCTGTGGACTGATGAAATGGGAGGGGGGAACGTGCAGTGGTTAATCAGGGTACCAGCAGAAAAGCCCTGTAACTACCAGCCTGTGTAAATGCTGCATTTTGTGTGAGCAATTAAGAACTTGCAGGTTACTTGCTAAAAATCGCTCTGGTGCATTGGTGTGGGGAGAGAGAAGACATCTTTGGGCCCCAGTTTGCAAACTTCCACACCACTTTTGTCAACGCCTTGTAGATTATGATGTTGGCACAGAGGGCAGCTTATGTTTGAGTAGATGATTTGTGAGATTTCTCAGCATTTTCCTGGATGTCAGGATTGTTCACCCCAAAAATCTTGGTCACGCACACTGGTTTGACAACAGTTGTCTTTGCTATAAATGACAAAAGCCTTCTGACACAATATTCCACCCCAAACCAAATAAAAACCCGAGGAATGTGTCCTTTTTTTTTTTTGTTGGCTGGGACAATCGAGTGAGGCTGGTAGACAACTCACTGTCATGGTATTGCCGGGATGTACAAGCTCAAGGCATACTGCATAGGACATTCATTAATAAAAGCTGCAAAGGATGGGGCACACCACATGGCCCAAACTACATGTATATGTACACACTAAAACGTCCACAGTTATTGTCTGTTATTTCAATCCTGAGGTCTATCTAGTCTTCATACCCGAACCCTGAACGCTCAGTAATAACTCACAGTTCTGCTGTTTGAGTCTTGAATCCAACGCAAACAATAACGATCACACTGTTCATTCCAGATCTACCAGAGCAATGAATGTATTTAATAAACGGTCTCTCAAATGAAAATCTTGATGGTGAAAATACTTGAATTTGACTTTCAGATTTGTTTGATCCAAGTTGACTTCCCTCAGGTATTTGTTTAGGATTAGGTAAAAGACGGTTTCAGATCATCACACTCCATTCTTCACCTGTCTCACATGTGTAAAAAGATCACCCCATAATCCTTTGCGGTAGCACGCTCCTTTTGCAAATCTCACTGCTGAGAGTGCAAGGTATCGAAGGTCACATGCAAATGTACGATGTAAACAAAACAAAGGTTACAATTAGCATGTAAGAGTACATGTATGAGATCTTAGGAACTACACACACTTATTTTGGCCTTGAATGTGTACAAATTACAGTGCTTTTGTGGTTGCTTGGTGTGTATATTTAACCGTGACGATCCAAAGTCTGTCAGCTTTGTTATCTTTCTTTACCACTGAAAGATGCTGTGCATCGCATGGAAGGAAGAATCCTTGCTATGTGGTGCATGTACCTGTAGACTAGCAGTTTACTGAGTGTATTTCAGAAAGTCTTGGTTTTGGGGGAAGAAAATACCGAAACAGAGACCTTTATCATGGCAAGTAAATGGAATAATTTTCAAGTTACTCTTTGAGAACCTTTGGGACAGAAGCAGACTGATCATCCCCAAAGAGGGCACTAACATTCCCTGATTTCTCAGAGCAGAATGCCGTGTTGATAAGTACCATCCGTGAGCCTCTCACAACATCCTCTTTTTTCTCTGTTTGGATTACAGACCCAGGAAGCCGGTGCATCTCTTTGCAGGTGTGGCCTCTTCTGTGCAACCTGCAACTGCTGTTTCACGGAAAATGTTGATGGTAGGTACCAACCTCGGTGAGGGAATTCAATGTAATTATGCCACTGCTTTTATCGACAGGTTTAAGGTGCCAGCATGTATGCACCTTGTTCATGACCTATAGAGGGCGCTGTGTTGCCTAGCAACAAGGGCATGTGTAGGGCACAAGCGTTTCATTAGCCCAAGACATTCTGATGTGATTTATTATTGCTTCTCGGAAGTTCTCTCCCCAATACAGTGAATTCAAGGTATAAAGTGTTAAAATATACTTCCAATTACGACACTCATGCCATGTTATGTTTGCGTATTGCCCCATAAAACTTAATGTAACAGTTAATGTTGCCATGACATTGTAACAGTGTTCACACAGTTGGCTTGCAAGCACGTGTTGTACAAGCAGCTGTTGGCTTGGCGTCGGTCTCTAGCTGTTCGTAATTTGGTTTGCATGTAGTGCTGAGTTTGTGGTAGCATGGGCTTCGTGTATACCAACCTACCATGGGCTTAGAGGCCTGTCAAATTAACTGGCAAAGCAAGCTTTAATTACCCATTGCTCCACAAGTTTGTTTGAGTGGCCAAGTAACGTGCATAACAGTTTTGTAGTGGCCTTGTAAAACCACTTCCAGAAATGCTATGACCAGCTGGACTGCTGGCCCAAGATTTTTTTCAACGAAACTCAAACCCTGAGTCTGTGGACTGTGGTTTTTCTAGTCACTTACAATGTACTGTGCCAAAAGAACCCAAAGCTAATAATCTGTTGTTCGCTTAGATAGTTTACATATGTGTTCAGCTCATTGCAGCTTAGTAATACCACCGGGTAATATGTCATGTGACATATTTTGTTGGTTTGACATAAGAGTCTGAAATGGAATTCAAACTGTCAACATTTTTTAATAAATGTGCTTGCTGCATGTAATTACTTCCCACCATCACAACTGTGTAGGACCAAATTTTTGAATGTGCTGTGGCAAAATTCCCAATCTTCCAATAACCACTTTTACAGTTTGAGCATTCCCAACAGATAGTTATATCTCAGCCTTTGGAATATTCATTGAGGCTAAGCAATATGGCTCTTTTTGGGGGGTTTATGTACCATCATTTCATATAGCTATCTTGAGAGAATGGTGGCTAATTTATGCGTAATATGCCTGAAATATGCATAAATTTATAGCTGCAGCAATGCAGATGGCTAGGTATTAATGATTTATCTGTCACACAATATGGTTGATCAGGCCAAGGCAAGTACCCGGACATGTGTACAAATGAAAGCAATTATGCAGCTTTTTATATGATTGCCCTTCCTAAAGCAGTGTATGTCGATGGTATTCCTGTAATGTATACATTAAACCTGGCCAAAAAAGACTCTGTGGGGGAACGTGAAACTACAATCTCTAACTAAACCAAGGATTTTTGAAGCAAAACGTCAGAAGAAATGTACTTAATAGAGACTCAGACACCAGAGATTTTGAAACCCAAAAGGACAAAAAAGAATTTAGTTACGCAGACAACAGGATAGAAATCAACCACTTAACCTAAACCAATGAAAACCCAATCAAAGTGACTCAAAACACAGAGGCCTCTAAACCATAAATGCAAATCTAAAACCAACACAGTACATCTATGTATTAAATGGACCTCATGAGAGGAATACTCACAAAAAACACCCTAACTCAGGAGCAGATACATACAGTGCACACACATCAAGGGTGTACGGCACAGAAAGTGGAAAAGACTCATGGGAACTCCACTGCTGGTCTATAAATGATGATGGGACTTGACCAGGGACGTTTGGGGTTGCCTTTCCAAATGACTGAATTTTACATTCCGAAACTTGTTACTTGCAACGAATCAGAGGTGCTTTCTTCTAGAATGTGAAAAGCTACATGTAGAACCGCACTGGTAAGAAACGTGCATGAATATTGAGGGAAAAATAATGATATTCATCGACAAGGTCGTCTGTTTCCTGGTCCTTTTCCTTGGTAGCTGACTGAGCCATGTTGGGTTCTCCATTTTTGTGGGTCATGTTCCTAGTCATTGCTTTGGCCAGTTTCTGATTAGGTGTTGTGAAAAGCACTCCCTACTTGTAGTGTTAATTAGGGAAATTTCACAGAACTTTCAAGATACTTCCCAGTCCACCAGGGGGTTTATAGATTTTGTAGGATGTAGGAAGTTCGGAGCCTAAAGATGTGCACTTCCAATCCAAATTGTATTAAATCTGACTTTATTTCTAGCCATCGGTGGTCAGTTAGTATTAAATGTTGCGTTGGTAGGGTTTGTTACGAACACTTTTAAGTTTTGTTTTTAATTTTTTGGGGGGTTAGGTCTTTAATGTGTCATGCCGTTTGTTAATTGTGCGACTAAGTTGGAGACACACAAAGTCATCAAGTTCTCATTGATATAAGTTTAGACTTGCTCTGTTTGGCGTGGATTGGATGAGGATTGAGTCACGAAGGCCATCGCATTGGATCAGTTTGAGCCGAGGCTGTCAGATCTGAACAGCATTCAGATTTTCACCTGGGCATATCATTTTTGTACAGATTCAAGAGAGTTTTTTTTTTAGTTTTTTTTTAGTTTAGTTTTTTTTTCTTTAGCAAGATACTTGATGCTTTAAAAAGAGAGTCTTTTATGTTATGGTATTTAATCCAACAATACCAGTTCTTTATCCTCCAGTTTCGGTATAATTTTTCACATGCCATTTGGTGTTGGGGTTAGCCCTAAACCCGGAAAACCAGTCTCGGGGCAAGACTAGTAACCACTTAGATACTGAGCTTCATGATTGTTCAGTCTGAGTACACTTGTTCATAGCTTGGACCGCAAATTTTTTGTCGTTTTCATAATCCCAGCAAAGGGCCTGTGTTTTTAGCCTGTGTAAAAGAAAAAGTGGAGTTAAATTAGTGTGCTTGTTATCCTTGTTACATTTATCTAACTTTTCTTGTCGCGTTTAGTATGCTTTACAGTGAACGGCAGTTTATTGGTAAATCTGACATCCAACAAATTAACATCTATTTCCACAGCACAAGCTATTGACTCGGCCTTTCATGAGTGTCATTTTTGGGGGAGGTGTCAAATTGTCCCCGAGTTTGATTTGGGTTGAAATTTTTCAACAAGCCCCCCTCATATACAGGCATCATGGTAGAAGGAAATTGCTAGCTGCGTTGTTAGCCCAGACTCGTTGATATCACTTCCCAATAGGAAACGCCTCATGAACTTTCTCAACAGTCCAAACTACGGGAACAGGAGACCTCTTTCGTCAAAGTTGTCAAGGTGGATGTTGTCAAGCAGCTTCAAACCTTCAGAGTGGTATTTCAGTCCCACTCTGGTCTGGTTGCAAGTTGACTGTACTTTACTCCACATTTGGCCCACGAAGCTTGCCGAAAACTGGCTTCGATTCCAGAGTGCCCGCTCGCGTGCATAGTAATGAATGCGCTCAAGCCCCAATCAGCCACATTTTGCTCGCTGCCCTACCCCCCCACCAACATTTATTTATTCACACTCATTCATTTTCATGGACTTGGGGGGCTGGGGAGCGATGGATCACCTTCTTTATCTCGCTGACAGTGTGTGATTCCACCCGCGCATGAGCTCTGAAATATGCGCGAGAACAATAGCAGGAATCAAATTCACTTCAGCTATGACCCTCACTTCCCCCCTCCCCTTTTGGGGGAGGGCGAGGCCACAGGATCGGGGGAAAAATTTGAAATCCTGTGAATGTAGCTCAGCTACCATCTGTTGGCTGTTTTGGATGCACTAATCCAACTTTTTGTTTTTTCCCTCGGAGGGCTCGGGTGGTAGAAGCTTTGTCATGCGCCTCTGCTTTGGTGATTATTTGCAAATTGACAAATGACGTGAAACACTGTAAAGGGGCTCAGTAATTAACGTCACATGAGCAGTGTGGTCCTGATGGTTACATTGTATTACATGTTCTGCCACGACCTGAATGTCCCAAAACCTCTTCTACTCGTGAATCAACAAACAGGCTGCTGCTGAAGTTAAAACAAAGCATTGAGTTTTGGGGGGAGGGTTGTTAATTTTTTTTATCTGTGTCCAGTGTCAATTTTGAATTTCAAAACTGGCAGATTAATTTTATTTCATCCATTTTTGACTGAAAAGGGAACAAGAACTTTCTAGATATGAGAAATGCTTTACTGTTTCAGACTACCATCTGCTTGGTTAATCAGATGTTATAAAAACCAGTGTTTTCGAAAGTCATAATACGGGCAGGAAATTCATAACTAAGAAACACTGCTGACACGATCCTTTCCTGTCTTTTGTACTGGACGCCATCATGTCTGTGCTTCAGTGCTGACATGCTAATTCTCGCCTGACCCTGGACTTATTTGCTGACCGTATGGCATTATTCTCCTGCCTGTCATCAATAATGCAACTAACAGCCCATCTACATCTCGCATGAATAATTTTTCTCTTTTTTTTGTATTCTTCTGCTTCAAGAGTGCCCTACGTTTCATCTGCAAGTTTGGGCAATAAAAGTCACAAATGCATAAAAAATGATATGAAACATATTCACACAGTACACATTCCCATTTTCCTTGTTCGACGGTAGCTGAACCAACTTTATTCTTTCCAAATCACATCCACTGGTTCTTGGCATTGGACATCAATCAAAGAATCAGAAAGATAAAAGGGCTGTCAGTTCAGACATACAAATACTACATACCCCAAGGTTATCAAATTTCAAATAATAACGGGAAAGAGTAAAGGACAAAACAAAAAAAAACAGTTAGCTCTGCTCTAGCAATTTTCAACATTTATAGAACAAAATCATTTTTACCTAGTTAAAAATGCTTTACTTAGTGCACTCGGACTCACGAATCTCAGTGAGTGTGTTTGAGAACCAAAGTATTGTATATTTTTTCCTGTTTGTTTCCTTTTATCAATTGTGCAATCATGTTGGAATTTTCTAAGCACATTGCTGCAGTAAAGTGCCTTGTGATTCAGAGTAAGCCTTGTGCAAATCTATGAAATCCCAACTTTGGAAATGTCGAAAGCTGGGTATTCTTTGTGCATAACAGTTGAAAATTCAATGCATCCATATATGCATGCATTTTCAGGAATGTAAATCTGGTAAGGGGATATGATAATAATGCGAATTATAAATGATCAGTTTTATAAAGTGCAAATGTTTATACAAATGTGTTCCAATGGGCTGTACAATAGAGACATTAAACTACAACATTTTCAAGCCAAAGGCCTACACAAAGGGCGACTCAGGCAGCCGCCGCACGACCCACATCTGCCCACATCTGTAGAGAGGAGGCAGTGAGAAGCAATTGTCAATTTCAAGGTGGGAGGAAAACCCCAGAAGAAGGTTCTGGGTGAATGTTCCCTGTGATCAAACCCACAAAATTAGGTAGGGACTGCAAATGCAATCCACATCTGGACTGAGCTGGTAATCAAGCCCTGGCCGTAGAGGGGAAAGGCCAGGAAGGAACAACTAGACCCACCTGACTCTCCCAATATATCCTCCCACTTGCGTGACTCGGTCTTGAACTGACAGGCCGACTGACCAGTTAGTTAAATGGTACGATTCCTGCACCATTTAAGCAGGAGAGTGTGGGTTCAAGTTCCACACCAGTAGTGAGCTTGTGAATTTTTTTCACAAGCCTGAATATACAGTGTTTATTAAATGAAGCTCACTGGAGGGCAAAATACCTAGTTTATTGTTTAGCCTCCAGAGTTGGGTTCCATTTGTGAAAATCTTCAGAGATGTACTTGCATTGGGGAGATGTTAATTTTAAATTATGAGCTCTGCCCTTACATTGACATATAGTGATAATACTGTAGACACAGTGTTATCCAAGAGCTCCCCCCCCCAAAAAAGAATTTCATAAATTAACTCCGGTGAGACTCAATTTCACAGCCTTCTGCTTACTCGTGCAGATGTTTTAACCACTTGAGCACCGAGCTTGCCGGGTTAGCTAGCACCTCTGAGATGCAGCAACAGGCACCACAAACTTTTACCAAAGGTGTACTTGCGCTGGAAGATGTTTATCGTTAATTATGGGTTTTGCCCTCACACCGATATATACACTGGGTAGACTAGAATAAGTACATGTAAGGGCAAAACCTCTAATTAAACATTAGCTCATGACAGTTTGCTGAAATGTTAGCTCAACACCTGTGAACTTGCCGAATAAACTGAAACGATCTTTAGTTCAACCAGACAAAATGGCATTGCCCTGTGCTCGGAGTGCTATTGTCACTCGTATACTGTCAGTCCCGCCTTTGTTTATGAATGCAGAAGACAATCTACGGTAGTCTACAAGTTAAATTGAAACTACTTGTGTTCTTGGGACATGTTTCATCCACTTTCAATTTGGTTAACTTCCAGAGGTGAGCCTTGTCTCAGAAGCTGAGACAGTCAAGGGCTATTCCTACCTTGCTGGCCAGGCCAAGCTGACCGACTCCAGAATGAGGAAGCTGGGCCGTGAGGGGGGAAGGTTCTGCCAGTGCCAGGAGGCAGTCAGATCTGGGGAAGGGCAGAGAAACCTGAGTTGGGCTGACGCTGGGCTGTACCGGGTGTCGGCCAATGGCTTGAGAAATGTGTCCACTCAGATGGAAAACTCATTGGGCTCACTGAGAGGTAAGAGAATAGTGATGCAGTTCCTGACCACGGTACAAGTTCCTGGAACTGTAAACAATGCCAACAAGCACAGAAAGTTCCTCCCAAGTGAAGTGAAGTCGCCAGCTTAAATGTGACCTGTCAACTTAAAATGAGCGAAAATGCGACATATTTAAATGTCTGATCCTGCTAACAAAATTTGAATTAAATAGAGGGCTTACTCTTTCAAAATATTACAAAATGGCAAAATTGAGCTCCACTTCAATATTTGACCTTGAACCCTCAAAACAGGAAAGAGCAGAATGGGACTGTACGCTCATTTTGTCGTGCCAGGTCACAAATGTGATGTGGAGTATACCTTGCATTGTCGTTGTCAAGCCGATCACATCCCTGCAAATGTAATTCCATTTCAAGTCACCCTGTCATAAGCTGTTGTTTACCTGTTACTTACGACTGGTCTTGTGAAAGGATTCATGACTGGACTGTAAGACAGGACTAACGAAAGGACTTGGGATGGACTCAACTACAACACCGATTAGTTGTAACTGATTGTAAGCCCATGTTACCATTGCGTTAAAATCTGCTGGTTGAGCAATGTTTCCGTTGTTACTTGCTGCATGTCTAAGCAGCAAATGGCAGCATTCTGCGCAGCAACTTCGTTCGCTGGGCAACTCACTGCATGCACATGCTGGTTCCTGCGCGTAGGGCATGGGGCGTGGTAGAATCTGTAAGTCTTTGCTGGGAGAGAGCTTGTTTGAAAAGACTCCCCTCAGCTCTTCTCTTTGCCGATGACGAGTGAAATAACAAGCAAGCAGTGTCATGGAAACACTACAGAACTGACACCGCTTGCAGGATTTCTGCAACAAATTAACTGCGCTGAGGTGCATCTTACTTTCAGGCAATTGGAAAAAAACAACAAAAAACATGGCATAACTGCTCAGCGTTTCAATTATTTCAAACAACCCAGATGAGGATGAGTGCTACTTTTATAATGGCTGCTTGTGTAGGATTTGGTAGTTCAATTCATGCATTATTCCCACTGAGATTGGAAACCAGCTCACACGAGTTGACGGGTGTGAAAAGCCAACTCCAAAGTTGTTATTTAATTTGGTTCTCGTGAGAAGAGCAGTGGTAACGTTAGCATTTCAGCATACGAAAAACTACTATTGGCTCGCACCATTTACACCAAAATGTTCACCTGCCATTGCTTTTGTAGTGAATACATCCCTTACCTGCCCACTCAGAATTTGTTGGTTATAAGCCATCGGGATATTTTAGTGGAAAAAGAGTCCAAACTGTGGATTCCAAATAATTTGAACTTCATTTGCTCAACAAAACACAAAACCTAATGTAGGAAATTGTCCATGAAACCAAACAAAACACAGAAACGCAGGTTACTGGTATGGTTGCAGTTGCCTATGGTTTCCACAGTTCAGTCTGTCATCCATGCCTGCACTTTGCTGGCCCCATCAAGAGATATCAATAATAGATCAAAGTCATCAATACATAACAATTGCGGGCCTAAACTAGTCACTTGGTCTGCACTTCCCTCCGACCCCCCCCCCAGTATTTGCAAACCTTCAGAGACATTTTGATTGTGCCAACACCTCAACTTGACACCACCTGATATCGGCAAATTAGACCAAGAAAACCCTTAGTTCTTAAAAATTGCAGTGACCGGTGATCATACTGTGTCCAAGGTGGGAACCACCTGGTTCCCCATTTAGATGTGCAGGCAGCACCCTGAATCATCTCCATCATGGGGCCGCCTCTCCTCCCGACCTTTCCTACCCTCACTATCACTACCTCCCTCCCTCACACCGTCTCCCTCATTCTTTGCCCCGTTTCCTGGTGACACATCACCCTGCCACTAATAACTCCCGGCTGATGCTCCCCAGCTCTCGACACCTTGGCCGCGTGGCCGCCACTTTGGTGGGCACGCTTCGTCGCGCCCCAGCCCATTTGGCATTCGAGCGTCGTGCCACCGGCTGCCTTTCGCACAGCCCCTGGACTGCACTAACACCTTTCCAGTGAGGTCTTGTCGACACCTGAACCAATCATGTTAGGTGGATGACGCAAAGTTCCCCGGGCTGGGATTTTCAAGAATATACCTTTCGTTGCGCAGGGTTGCTTTGTTTGTCCGACCTTGACTATCTACATTGCACACAAACAATCGTCCACTCGTGTTTTGATCTGTGTCAAGCAGAAAAATGCTCACCACATGCAATCGTGTCGTAATCAGCCATCTGCCTTGGAACTGATTACCCACAGTGTAAGACCCATGACAATTTTGTTTGTAAATTGTTTTTGCCAAGCAAGTTTGCCGTATTCTTTAAATGTCTAGCACTTCAGTAGCCATGGCATTAAGACTGGCCAAGATGTGATGGTTTAGACCTTCATGTATATGTCAACCCATAATTGGTAATAAGGGCCACAGGTATTATGACAAGTGATGTCATTTCCCCAAGGGCACCAGTGTTAACCAGCTATTTAGATTGTGGCAGCACTGCCTGTTTGTTGATAGTTACAGTTCTCATACCCTTTTTTATAGCCTTGTCATTCAGTTCAAAAAGTAAAATGGCCTGTGTTTGTTTTTGTGGCCAATGCCGGCCAAGTGGCTTCCCCTTCATTCAGATGGCCACATTATTATTGTATCTGCAGGTAATCATGTTTGACAGGTGGCCGCCACTTTTGGCGGGTGGCCTTTGTATGTAGAGGGGGATGCGCGATGAAGTCTGGTAACTGTGATGGCCATTTCTGGTAGTCATTGTGGTTTACAAAGTCAGCTGCCACTTTGGACTCTGTATAGGCATCCAGAAGTTTCTTGAGTTGAGAAATTTGTTGAATTTATTTTGAATTTTGACTTTTTTTGGTTGTTTGTTTGTTTACTTTTCCTAACTTCAAGCCAAGCCCCTGTAATAGGTTTTCGTTTTTATCCAGTCATCTCACTTCACAACCCCGCGTACCTTCCACTTCCCCATCATAGAGTGTCAGCACGTTCAGTGGGGGATATTACGAATTGAAGGCTCATTAACACTGCGTGGGGCTATGGAGTTGTTGGTGTGTGGATAACGAGGATGGAAGTGTCTAGCCGCCCTCTTACTCGCAGAAGAAAAATGACCAGCTCACCCACTGGCTCATTCCTTCTGTCTGGCTGTCTCGCTGGACACAGTTCTTTAACCGTTCACTGCACATTTCTGCCCCCTTCTCATCTGCATTATTTATTGCACTTGTACATTGCTCATGCATGTATGTACATAGAAATGGGCTAAAATATTGGCTGAGATGTCAGCCCATGTGAAGCACATTTCTGTGCCCGTCATTCACTTACTACAACCAATTTTTTTTTTTTAGCATGAAGGCATTGCGTGTATTCATGATACTTTTAGTGGATTGATAAATAGGCTAATTGCAAAGAATTGACACCGGCAATCACACTGTGCTGATGTCCTGCATGCCCGTGAATGTAGAGAGAAAAATACACCGTGGCAACTTGTTTTCATGTACCAGTTTTAGAGAAATATGCATCATCGTACACTTCTACAGATATTTTGGAACTTTCTGGAGCTGCTCCACTTGCAAAATCAAGTCTGTACCTTATGTTGTCATTTTGGTTCTGGAATGAGAAAGAATAGATATTACAGATCCGAATCTGCTGTAGAAATTTCATGTATTGTCATGCACGACCTTACATGTACATGCATGTTGTTTTATCCCCACCGACTACTGCCTTCTCAGTATTCTGAGCCCGTTCTAATGAGCTGCCATATTGTGCAGATGTCGTTGGGAAAAATTTTAACGGGCTCTCTGAGGCCTGCGTGTCAAGATGTCACTCAGTGACTAAGCCATGATCCATCTTCCGCCCAAACTTATTCAAATTGAAAAGTGCAGCCCATCAAGGGAAAATTGTCATTTTCGCTCAACCCTCCACCAGGTATATTACCATTAGTACCACTCGTGTCAGGCCTGTTTGTCTTCTTGTCAGGGGTCCCCTTGAGATGGGCTCATATTCTCCCATTCCCCCTTGCCACTGCTCTCGCCACGCAGGCAAGCATGGCACGCCACCCTTGGCCATTCCCACAAATGGCCCCCCAAATGAGTCCATGATGACTTATTGTTTTTGTCACGGGAGTCGATTTGCTCAGGACCACTGGGCTAAAAGGGGGAAGCTACACTCCACTCCATCTGTGCTGGCCGGTTGGTGTAAAGACGGAGAGAGATGAGCTTACTACTGACTTGGGGATTGGACAATTGAGCCAAGGATAATTGGTTGTTGGCCGATGCAGTGGAGCATGTGTCGTTTGGGCCCATTGCCAGGGTTTATTGATATTAACTTTATTTGTACATCAAATGTCAAATGGTGCGAGATGTAGTTAGTGGCTGGGAAAGAGGGTGATGAGAATTTCAATTCTTGGGAACTTTGTGTGATCTTCAGTTGAAGGCAAATTTGGACATCCCGTTTTCAAAGTGTAGCTAAAATGATTCTGCTTCAGAGTTCAAATATCTGCAGTCACCCCTCCCCTCCGCCGTTTGCAAGTGAAATATGAAACCTCTTTGTCTTACAGCTACGGTAAGAAATGGCGGTATCCGTCTGATAAATCTCACTTTTAGGGGGAGGGCAGACAAGCAACTTAACGAATATTCATCTTGGCATGTCCGTAAAGAAGACGTACAAAAAAAGAGAAATCTGGAAATGGTTTTCCCTGATGCATTAACCCTTCCACACGCTGGATGTGTTGCATAATGACAATGGATGGTAATTACGCCACGCCAGGATTTCCTCATCCATTTATTCTTTTCCCAAATTTTTTTTTTCTCGACTCTGTTTTTTTTTTTCTTTTCTCTGTCCCCGTATCCTTCTCGGCTGTTGCCGTCCATCAGAGAACGGGATATCAGCCTCCATCAAGTAATCAACCTAATGAGTAGAAAACGAGCTTCGTTTCTTGTAGCTGCAATTCTGGCGGTGAGTGAGTCCGCATCCATTTCGGCGACGGATGATGTGGTACTCTCCTCTCAGCCAG